TAGCAAGAAAAATGAAGAAATTACAAAATAAATGATTCTAGAATTAAGTAAGTTTTATTATACGACATATTAAATGTGTCCTCCAAAAAGAAAGATCTTGTATTTCTTTTCAAATCCTATTAAAGAAGAATATTTTATCGATCCTAGAGTAATGAATATGCCTGCACCACTTGATAATGCTATTTTATAAGGTAAAGATCCTAAACATGCTGTTCATATATTTTCAGATGGCACTAAATTAGCATTTACAAAAGTCCAATAAGTAAATTATATTTTTTCAAGACAAGAATACATTATAGATGATAAGGATAATTATAAACCATTAATAAAAGTATTCCCTAGATCTTCCTAAAAAAAGTATGTTTTAAGAAGGTTTGCAAACTTTTTAGTAAGAAAGCAAGCTCATCTTATTACATGGCATAAGGAAGATTCTATATTTAGACCATTTAATGGAGATACAGAAGAATTACTAAATGATTGTTTTGAATTTGATTGGAATTGTAGTAAAATTAGTCGTTTTGTTAAAAGTGAATATGAAAAGTTAAAATTAAAGGAATATTTTAGACAACACTATTAATTAATAAAAGATGTATATAAATTTTATTCAAGTGTTGGATATTAACCACCAAATTTTGATGTTTTTTGTATTCAATTTCCTTAATATATGAAATTATTGAATAAACTTGCTATTATAGATGGAGATCTTTTGAAATCTTAAGATGTAGATATTGACATAGTTTCTTTAAAAAATAATGTTGATCAAAAATATATTTATAATCCAGAAAAGGCTATAATTAGATATTAATTTTTAGAGATGTTTTTTAGAATAGCTAATGACAAATATGTTAGAACTGATATATACAAAAGTTATGCAGATGCTATTTTTAGATTACTGAAGGAATTCAAAGAACAATATGAACATTTTGATATGATTTAAGAATGGAGAACATAAAGATTATGGACAAAAGAATGTGATCATTTATTATAAATTAAGATGCCTTTTATAAAAAAACTATATGATTATGTAACTGATATTACTAATAGAAAATGGTATTTTAAATTAAAATGGATATCAATAAGAGAATTCAAAGAATTTTGTAAACAATTTAATCTTCATGAGTATTTGTCAGAAAAGCTTTAAGTAATTATTTACAACTTTTCAATGATGACCTAAATTGATGAACTAACTTTAGATAGAAATATAAGGATGACTTTTATTGAATTTGTTGAGGCTCTTGGTAGAATTGCAGAAAGAATCAGTCCTACTCCTATTTAAGAACATATAGATTCATACACTTTATTACAAAGATAATAATTACCTTTACATGTAAAATTTGAAACTCTACTTACTTATTTGTATTATTAAATGAAATCAAGAGATTATGAATATGAACAATTTTGTGATTTATTTGTCTATTTTAAACTTGAATAATCTCCTAAGAGTAGTTTTCCAAAAATAGATAAGAGTAAGAAATTAGACAAAGACCATGATTATCATAATGACTTAACTTCACTTACAATTTATAATGCAGTCTCGTATTTGAGTATTTTAGATGATTAATTTAAGATTAGAATAAATAGCCTTATTTAAATCCTAAGTATAAACAATTCTTAAAGTAAAACATCATTTAGACATCTCCCATTCGTCCTTTTTAACATATATTATAAAGTGAAAAAATAAAAAGAGCTAGATTGTAACCAGAAACATATAATTTTGAATCAAGATTAAATTAGTAATAATTCAAGGCTCAAAGTCCAAATAAATAGATAACTCTCTCTTAAAATACATGATTAAAATATAATTGTTTATAAATTTCTAATAAAATGTAATATTATTCATTTTTTTTATGATAATGATTTTAATAAATCATATCTGTTTTCCAATTTACTATTAATTTCTTTATATGTTAAATTATTGTATTTAAATTCTAAATAATGTTTTTCTTCATTTATGGAAAACATGTTATGGACATTATTGATGTTCATCAATAAACCAATAAGAGTTTCGTATTCAAAGAAATGAAAATTATGATTTATAAAATCAAAGTGCACTTTTGAATGAAGTTCTTATTCTTTTTGTAAAAATTGATATAATTATGCTTGAATTGACCATTCTTTTAAACAAATCTAAAAATATTATTATAATTACATTAATATCCTAATCGTATATAACATCATTATCTCTTTCCTATAGATTCTTAAATCCTTAATTTTCAATAATATTTTTTAATTTTGAGACTAATACTGAATTTTATGGATTGGGCCAATTCTTCAATTCCAATCCCAATCTGAAACTAAGTAAAGATTCAAGTTTTTATGCTTCAAAAGTAAATACAGAGGCTGGCTACATTTTATAAGCAATCTTATAGCATCTTAAAGCTTCATCATAATCCTTTTTGATAATTTAATATACTTCATACTTTTTATGCATTAGCAATCAATCCTGCATAATAAAAATACTCTATTATAATTTAATTTTTCTTGTCTTAACTTTCTTACAAAAATATTTTTGATTTTGTAAATTAATATCCAATTTTATAGTTATAGGACATTATACAGGATTACAAAAAGGCTACATGGAGTTCTGTTAAGAATATAATTTTTTATAATTGCTATGTATATAGATATTAATAATTACATTTCTCAAATGAGAAAGTACTTTTGTAATAATATGAGGATTATTTGTTTTTAATTGATTAGTAAATTTAGATAAGCAAGTACCATATATATTCATATATTGAATATCTATTTTATTTATTTAAAATTCCATAAAGTACTTAAACAACTATTAAGATCAAAATAACCTAAATACATAAATTATATGTTAATCCTCATATTTTGATTAGTGATTTGATAAAAAGTAAATTTTGGAAACATCACTTTGGGATTGGAAGGATGAATAAATTTATTATTCATTTGGAATATCATTTTCATCAAATTCTTAATTCATTTTTAATAAATAAATAATATAGTATCATAAGTGAATAAAATGATAAAAAATGAGACAATAAGTTTATCTATAAAATTCTTTTATAAATATTTAATATTGAATTGTGGTGTATGAATATATGAATTTGATGTAAAAATGATTTAAATTAGAAATATCATTAGATGTAATACTAATTCTTAGAATCAGATGAATTATACACAAGAGTGAAAACTTTGACAGTTGTAGCTAAATAAACAGCAGCATCAGTCCAAAAATAAGCCAAGAAAACAGAAAAATTGATTGGTGAAATAGAGAAGCCAATCAATGTTCCACCATTGCCTGCTGGTTTCAAAGTACTTTAAATCTTATCATTAAAATAGGTAGATGTCCCTAATTTTGATGTTACCAATAGATTGAATAAACTACCTCGTTCTTGGGAATTACCATAAGAATTGTACAAGAAACATCTACCAAAATATAATGTTGGAACAATTTATAGAATTTAAGAATTACTAAATGCTGGTGAGGGGTAACAATATTAATTAAATATATATAGATATATAGGATAAACAGTAACAGTAGCAGGTTGGGCTAGAACAGTGAGAGATTAGAAGAATCTTTGTTTCATTGAATTGAATGATGGAACAAGTTTTGGTGGTCTATAGATAGTGGTTGAAGATAAGCTAACAAATTTTGAGCAAGTTGCTAAAACCAATACAGGTTTTTCACTTAAAGTGACAGGAAATATTGTAAAGAGTCCTGCCAAAGGATAATTAATTGAAATGCTTGTTGCTGATCCTACAAAACATGAAGTTGTCATTATTGGATAAGCTGATCCTGAGGAATATCCAATGGCAAAGGGAGTTTAGAAACCAGAGACTCTTAGATAGAAAGCACATTTAAGACCAAGAGGCAATTTCTTTAGTGCCGTTACTAGAATTAGAAATAATTTGGCCTATGCAACTCATGTATTTTTCTAAAATAATGGATGTTTATATATTCATACACCAATAATTACTGGAAGTGATTGTGAAGGTGCTGGAGAAATGTTTAGAATTTCTACTATTTTTGATAATGATATTAAGAAAATCCCTTAGATAAATGGTAAAGTGGATACAGTTTAGGATTTCTTTAAAAAAGAAGTCAATCTTACAGTATCTGGTTAATTATAAGTGGAAGTAAATTGAAGTATTAATTTTTAATAGAATTTCTGTATAAGTATGTCTAATGTATATACATTTGGTCCAACTTTTAGAGCAGAGAAGGCTCATACTCATAGACACTTAGCTGAGTTTTGGATGATTGAGCCAGAATTTGCATTTGCTGATTTATTTGATAATATGGAAGCAGCAGAAGGTTATGTAAAGTTTTGTATCAATTACATTTTGTAAAATAATATGGATGATCTATAATTTTTGGATAAAAGAGTTAAACCTGGATTGATAGATTATTTAAAAGATATTGTAAGCAAGGATTTTGTTAGATGTTCATATACTTAAGGAATTGATATATTATTGAAAGCATAAAAGGCAGGAGCCAAATTTGAAAACAGTGATATCAAATGGGGAATGGATTTAAATAGTGAACATGAAAGATTTATAGCAGAAAAAGTATTTTAGAGACCAGTTTTCCTATATGATTATCCAAAAGAGATTAAAGCCTTTTATATGAAAGTGACTGAAGGTATATATTAAAGTTTAATATAATATTATAGATGGAAAATGTGTTAGAGCTATGGATATGTTAATTCCTTAAGTTGGTGAATTGATTGGTGGATCTTAGAGAGAGGAAAGATATGATGTATTGGCTGAAAGAATTAAAGAATGTGGATTGAAATTAGAAGATTATGGACCTTATATGGATTTAAGAAGGTAATTGATTGATAATATATATAAGATATGGAACAGTACCTCATTGTGGTTTTGGATTAGGATTTGAAAGATTAGTCATGATGGTTACAGGTGTTGAAAATATTAGAGATGTTATTCCTTTTCCAAGATATCATGGTAGTGCTGAATTCTGAAAAGTTAATAATATAAAGTATATTATATGAAAACACATAGTTTTATTGTCAATATTTTAGTTTAATCACATCATACATATTTGGTAGGTGTAACATTTTGTTACTAACACTCTCAAATTACTAATCATCTTCATCATTTATACATAATGATAATGATGATGATTAACGATGATGATCTCTTTTAAATGAAGATCTTTCTAATTCTGTTTATACTTCTTAAATTCCTTCTAAATTTTAGGGTTTATGAATCACAATTTTTGTTTATCCATCATCTTTTGGTTATTATTAATTTTAGGATTATAAATTCATTTTCTTCAACTAATAATTACTATAATATTTATACCCAATCATATTGGAATTCTTTTTCATTTATATTAAGTTATTGAAATATATTTCTAAATAACTTTTTTAAGAATTCATAATCACTTAATGGATATTGTTATACATTAGTCAATCTGATAAATTAAAAATATTATAGAAATTCTATAGGCATATCTTTACAAAACTTTTCTGGAATCATACGCAACTTTTATTCTTCTATATGTTTAGTTTTAGATCCGGTTTCCTTAATTTTGAACATGTCTCCATTCTTTAAAAAGTACATTAGAATAAATCCTAAAGATTCTAAGTCATCTTTTGGTGAAGCAGCTTAAAACATAATCAACACTTCAAAATACTCAATCCTAAATGCTGATTTAAACTTGAAAATTTAGTTAATTTAGTTTAACTAGAGAATTTAGATCCTAAACCTATGTATTTTCCATTTTTATGTTTGAATTTAACACATTGTTAGAAATCAATTAAAACAAATTCATTTTTTCCTGGTATTGTCAATATTTTCTTAGGCTTCAAATTATGATGTACAATAAATTGACTATGCATTTTCTCCAATATATTTAACTACTCATATATAATATTATATATACCATCTATATTCCTATCATACATATTGTTCCTAGTGTAAAATTCTTATTTGCAAATTAGAAACATAATTTTAAACTTGGTCCATATTTGTCAAATACTTAATAATAATAGTTTGTATTTTATAGTCGAATATCTCCTGAAGCTAATACTGTTGGCATGAATGTCACTTAAATTCATAACTTACTTTTTATACCAATATTCCATTTTTTCAACAGCTTCTCTTCCTCTTAGATGCTGTCTATGTTTGTGTTAGCCTATCAAGTAAATGAACTAACAATAAATTTAAACACTTTTATACATTACTAATCGCACTATAAAGTAATTTTCTGGATGCTATTTGTTTATCGCTTATAACATATATCATATATACTTACCTAAATATAGATTATGAATTCTTCCTCTATATATACAACTTTTTAAAGCATATTATCCTCCTATCATTATTAAATTCTATTTTTGTTGGCTCTCCTTTGATTTTGTTTCACTCATTTATTAATCAAATGAAAACATTAAATGATATCCAAAAACTCAATTAACAACAGAAAACCATATTCACTTTCACTAATCAAATCACTAATAATACAAATTCTGCTTGGCTTCCTCGTGATATTTAATCTCCATTTTAAAATGCTGTTACTTAATTATCACCTTAACTTTCTGATCATAATATTATTCATAATACAAGAGGCAATCTTAGATCATGGAGTTAATCAATTGAAAAATAAATTATATCTAGAGATCTTGTAAATAAAGCTAGAATCTAAAATGCTTAACAATCTGCAAGATAAGAAAAACATTTTCTTGGATCTGTCAACGGTATTTAAAAAATCAATTCTCCTAAATCATAAGCCAATCAAACTATGTCAACTCATAGTTCAAGTAGAATTGATCCTAAAGTTAAAAGAAAGCTTAGTCAAATGAGCAAAGGAAATTTTTTGCATTTTTTATTAATTTAAAAAGTTGGACATGTACTATCAAATATTATGTCTAGAAAGATGAGAAACAATTTTATGACTATCTCAAAAAAACTTATAATTTTGAAATTCCTTAACCTTAGTAAGAACAATCCACCAAAATTAATAAAAAAGATATTAAGTATCTATTCACAATTGATGATGATGATGAAACTATCAAGAAAACTACTTAATAGATATTTAAAATGAATAAATTTCGACATTAAAAAGAAGTCCCATTAGATAAATATGTATAGGATACTTATGAATCATAATTAAGAAGATTTCCTAAAGTTAGATAAAAACTAGAAAAATCAAAGCCATATAATATTGCATTGTAATGATTAATAGATATGATTACATAAAAATATATAATTTATTATATATAGACTGAATTATGTTTTTACTGGAATAATTTTATACTTCCAACTGATTTCTAATTAATTTATAAATAAATAAATCAAATTAAAAATAAATGTATTTTCATTAGGTTTTAATCTCATAAATATCATATTCAGAAACTACTCTCATTATCTAATAAATATTCTAAATCTCTTTAGTTTTAATATATATATACTTTTTATATTTCCCTTTATTTAAAATTTACTTTAAATTATAATTCATCTAATATAAAATAAATTAAGTAATACCTTATAAATTTATATCAAATTTATTAATATTAATATAAATGAAATATTGAAAAAATTTATCAAACTATAATCTACCCTTATAATCATTTTTAATATAAAGCTTCAAAATTGTTTTAAATAAGCAATTTAACAATATTTTAATTATACTTAAACAAGTCTTAATAAAATAAAAGAAATTTAGATATATTCATAAGCATATGTGGAATTATTTATTTTATTTTGATTTTTTCAATATATTTCGATAAAAATACAAGTCAAAATTAAGACTTAAGAAAATATATCCTTTATTTTATTTTACCAAAAAAGATGTGAATAAATCTTCATATTTACATTAAATTATTTGATCCATTTAATAATGAATTTCTTATTATACATTTAATTAAATAGATGGAGCACTTATTAGTAAATTTTAACCTTTGTAAACTTAAACGTCCTTCCTATTCTTATTCAATGCTACTAATTTCAATTACTTTTTGTCAGTTAATCAGTGCAATTTATTCAAAGTATTAATATGTTTAGAATATAGGTATTAATTAATCATTGCTTATCATTACCCTAATTTATAATTTTCTTAAATTTCTCAAATCATCAATCTAATCAAATATATAGATGTTAATAGTATAATTTAAGAAAATGAAATCATAATATAAATATTGTTTTGGTGGTTAATAACTTTGAGTATTTTAACATATTCACTCTATATAATATGTTATTTTTAAGTAAAATATCAAAAAAAGAAGAATTTAACAGATTAGTCCAGTGCTAAAGTTATTAATTATTCATAATTTAGATGTTAACCTAACTTTTATTGATTGACTAATGGATTACTTGCTAACCAACCTAACTAGTTTATTTAAATATAGCTTATTGTTCAATAAATTAAAATTGTTTGAATATTGGAATAAGAACAGATATATAATAAGTTTTAGCAAGTTTCTTCTTATTTTTGAGATTTATTATTTAAATAATAATGATAATACTTTTTACAAATCATTAAAAGATTAAGAAAGATGCATTATCTAGTGGATCAAGATTTATTTTACTTTATTTAGAAGTTTTTAGAGTATTGCTTAATATTTAATTGGCATTTCCAATTTAGAGTTAATAATTTCATGTAAATATTGAATATAAAATAGATCACAATTTTAATATATTTAATTTTATCAACATGTCTTTTTAGTTTTCTATTTAAAATGAGTGATTTTAAGTTATTTATTGCAAATCGAAATGTTAGATAAGTATTTAAAATATACATATTTTCTTTATTTGGTATATCCATAGGATTAGTATTTAATTCATTTTCTATACACTTTAATATTATTTAAAGTGATAATTCAATATCAATTAGTTTATTAAGTGTAATTTCAATTATATGGATTTTTTATTAATATTATTTTAACCAATAAATAGAACATCTTTGTTTACCTACTTTAACAGGAGATCATTTAATACAAAAAATAATAAATCTAAAATCAGTTGCAAAATAATTAAACATATTACATTAATTTGGTGAAGCTGATTCATATTATTTGGGTATGTTATCTTAACATTTTTCTAATACTTGTATATAAGATAAAAAGGAAAGATGCTTTTGTAGAATGAGAATCTTATATGATCCAAAAAAACTTAAAGATATTAAAATATCTTAATTTTCTATGCTTAGATAGAAAAATTTGTATTTAAAATATTTAATTAAAACATGGTATGAAATTTATCTTTTTCATCATCCTTCAGATGTAGATATTAGAATGAATTATGCTTTATTTCTTTATTACTAAATGAACAATTAAATTTTATCGTATATGTAAATTAAGTTAACATGTACTTACAAAATGAATCTAATTTAATAATTTGATATAAATAAGATTTAACTATAATTTCAAAATGAAATTATTGATACTAATAGTTTAAGTTATCATAATGAATCAGATTTTGAATATGTTATTAAAATTGAATAATTAATTAAATCTATAGAACTCAATATTTAAAATTTTCTTGATTTAAGTATAAAATTTTGGAAACAAGTTAATTAAAAAGTAATTTATGAAGAGGATTTATGGTATATCAATAAGGAAATAATATTAACAATCTAATAATCTAATGATTTATGGAATTAAATAAGTAAGCATAAGATAATCAATAGAGATAAATTAATTATTAAGAATTTTTTAATAAGAAGACCAAAATGGTAATTCCTTTATAATTGGTATTATTTATATGTTCTAAATAAAAAATTAAAATAATCAATGTTAGAATATTGTGATTCTTAAAACATGGTATAATAACCAATTGATGAAGATTCAGGTTCAGATAATTAAAATTAAATTGATTAATTTTCCTTTTTAAAAACTTTCAATTATACATCAGCTATATTTCACACTTCTCAATCTGGATAAATAGTTAATTTTAGTGAATCTACATATGATATTTTTGGATTTTAATAATATAATAATATTAATTAACTATTACCTAATACTTTAATTAGAAATCATTAATTTGGAATTGATTAATTTATTTAAAGTGGTAAAAGCAAATCATTATATAAGAAAAGAAAGATTTTAGCCTTAAATAATGAAAAATATCTTATGCCTTGTAAAAAGTATTTGAAATGGCATATAAGTCCATTATCATAAATTGAATATATATGTATGATTAGACCTATTTATAGACATTAAAGTGTCAATTATATTTTAGTGAATAGTGATTGGGAGATAGATAGTGTTTCTGAATAAATTGCAGAATATTTTTAGCCTGGTTTATGTTTATTTTTACTTTGTCCTAAATTATTAAAGTATTCATTTTATTCATAATTTTTGAATGAAGATGATCTTTAATTATTTAAATTAAAAAGAGCTAAAAATGATGATAATAATCAAGATTCAATTATTGATGCTAAATTCACAAATAGAAAAATTACTATTATTCCAAATAATTAAAAAAATTACTTTATGTTATAATAATAAACATAAGATATTGTAAGTATGGTATTAGAAGATGATAATAAAAATGTATAAGACAGTCCTCTTTGGATAAATGATGCTTTACATGAAGATTTATAAGAGGAGAAGGATTAATTATTTAAAAGATTTCATAAAGTTGTAGATGAAGATCATGTTAAATTAACATTTCGTTTACCAAAAAAGATGAAAAATTTGATAGAGGATTATACTGAAATGAAATAAGAAATCTTATTAAATGGTTTAGATTAAATGACTATGAAATCAAATAAATTTAAAGATTAAAAAATTGTTAAAAGAAATTCTAATGGAAAACTTTCATTTGATAAGAAAGTACTCTTTTCTAAATTATTTTAATATTAAGAATACTATTATGAGAATTTATATGATCATTTTAGTAATATAAATATTAATATTTAGAATCTAGTTTTTAAAGATACTGTATGACTAGTAGAATGTTAAAAACTGTAATAAAGATTGAAGCATCAATACGATTTACTAAAAATACAATCATGGATAAATATTAAATCATTAAAATAACTAATTTTAATGTTATTGAAAGTTAAATTTTAAACAAAAAAGCTAAAGTAATTTATTATTTTTTTTATTGATAGGTTGTAAATTTAATCAATAAAAAAAATTAGATAATTCGATAATCAAGATAAAGTATCTTTTAAAATCCTTAATAGTAGTAGCATCTTTAATAAATCTTAGAATAAAACTACTAATAATAAATTGAATAAAATTATGAAAAATTGATTCATTCAAATAGTAAATGTTTTATAATAATATAGTATAAAATTCTGATGTTGAATCATATAGAAATACTAATAGACCATTTATGTCTGAAAATCAAGTAATATCGGATTTCAATGCTTAATAAATAACATCTCTAATTCTTAAGACATAAAATAATATTTTTATCAAGGAGGAAAATAATAAATCTGCTAAGTAAGATACTTAATTAAACTTTTTTAAAATTCTTAATAGAATTTTCATTTTCTTTTTAATAATTTTTAATCTTATTGTTTTATACTAAGGTCCTAATATCAATTAATAAGATATGGATGAATTAGGGGTATAATATATTATTATTAAAGTTTTAAAGTGCAAAAAAATAATATGATTTCATTAATATAATGATTGAATCATATGATAAATTGATCAACTCTTTTTATTTTTAAAATAATCTCCTCATTTAAATTAATAATTAATCTGAATTTTATTAGAACTTAAAAAACAGTTTTAATAATTAATTATTTGAAATTACTAAATTATATAAATAACCAAATTTTGTATAAGAAATCTACAAATCAAAAAATTATAATGATAATCTAAATATAATTGATTTAATAAATTAATATACATCTAATATTGGAAGTCTTTAATAGATAGATTAAAATTATGATTTTGAATAATCATTAGATTTCTTTAGAACTATATTTATCCCTTTTCTCTTTAAATATTAAAGCAGAAATATATTTGAATTGATTGATAATCTAACTTAAGATTACTAAAATTAAGATTATATTTGTTTTACTATTATTATGACATCAACAGCCATTTTTGGATTTTATTTAGTTATTAATATATTAAATATTCTTAAACTAATAACATAAAGCTAAGTATTATTATGTTAAATATTTTTAGAAAGTTGCTAAATAATTATCTTATATTGAAAAAACATAAGTTGAAGAATTTATAAAATTTTATATGAATTTAAAATTTTAATTTTCATGTATTAGAAGTACAAATGGATTAATATAAAACAGTAATAAAATATATGAATTTTAGATTATTTTTAATCAACAAATTAAACTATCATTAGATAAGTAGAAGAAGATGAAAAAAGTAGTAATTTAAAAAGATAAAAATAAAAACAATATGAATGGTCTAAAAGATGGAAAAAAATAAAAGTATTTTTATAATGCATTTAGGTTTTAATGATTTTAAGATATCTATTATTTATGTCTATGATATCATTTCTAAGTTACTTTTATTTTATTTACATTTTAAGATTTAATAATTAAATGTCAAATATATTAATTTCAAACTATTTTACTAAATAAACTAATTAATTAATATCATTGACTTTATCTAAAGAAATATTTATTTATAATTTTATTAATCAAACTTTTATAAATATCAATAACTACAAAGAAATTCAATTAAGATATGTGGAGAGTAATGCTGAATTACACTCTTAATTATATCAAACCAATATTGATGAAATAGATGAAATATTTAATGGAAATTTATGTATAACAATAAACTAAAGTATTTTAATCAATTACAACTTAGTTATTAATTTCTAATATTGTAATACTTATTTGAATGGGGCATTAAATTATGGTTTACATTCTTATAATTTTTTGCTATCTTAAATGGCTCAATAATTGCTAAACCCAGATGAAGGACTTTTTGATAATACAACTGTAGAAAAGCTCTTTGAATTTGATTAAGTAAGAAATACATTTTTATATTAGATTAACTAATTTTAAAGAATTGGATATGAATAAGCTTGGACAATACTTGGATTAAGATATAGTTAATATATTGCTGAAAATTCAAAATTAGAAATAATCATTTTGTATTACCTTATCAATTAATTTTAGATCATGTTCCTGTTCTTTTAGTTTACTTTTATTCATATTTCTATTTGAAATAAGTTTTTTTAATTAGATGTTAAGTATAATTTTAGAAGTTCGTTGCTTTTATAAAAGATACTTTTCAAATATTACAATAGATAGATATAAGATTATAAGAGCATAACTTATTTAATGTAAAATTATCAATAAATGAGTCTTATATATAAAATATCATTTCTCTTATATTTTAATTTATTTTAACAATATTATGTCTTTTGTAGAATAGAAAGCTAAATAGTTAAGACCATTAAGAACTCAAAGAACATAATCAGAATATGATTCTTAATAAGTGAAACCAAGTCCAGAGTTATGGATATAAAATGTGTTAAAAGATGAAGCAGAACACAGAAATGTATTAAAAAGCTTTGGAATTGACAAGACTTCTTTGAAAACAGCTGGTGTAACATAGGCTGATAGAATTTATAATAGTTTATTTATCTATTCATAGGGAGTATACAATTCATTAGAAGAGTTGATTGCATAGAGTTTTGATAAGAAATCTATAATGGGAAAACTTTGGAAAGTATTCTAACTATTGACTGAGAAGTGTAGACCTTAAGTAATAGAAATAGATTAAGCATAAAGTTAATAAAAGATCACTCTTAACATTATGAATGACTAATTTTAATCATTAATGCAACTTAAAGAGTAGGATTTGATTGATCTATAAAATTAAATAAAAATGAGAGATGAAACTATACATTTGCTTTAACATAAACTAAATTTATAAAAATCAGAACTTGTTCAATATGATGAATTAATATAAGAGAGAGATAAATTATTTAGTTAGGAAACAAAAAAAAGGGTTAGTTTTGAATCTAAAATTAATCAAATCTAATGTATTTTTAATTAATAACTATAACTTAACGAATCATTAAAATTAAAGATGTTAAATGCTGAATAATAAATACATAATTTAGAATTAGATTTGGAATAAAAGAGACAAACAATTTTAAATTTAAGTGTTGAAATTGGGGAAAAAGATGAAAGATTAGATAATCTTAAATGTAGAACTTTTGATTCTGAATTATAAGTAAAATTATTGAAGGAGATGAATTAATAATTAGAGTATAAATGTTAAGAATATGAATAAAAGAAATAAAAGGATTATTCTTTAATATAATAATTAAATTATTAAAATTCTATTAATTAATCTTAATATAACAAATTAGATACTCTTAATAAATAATTAACAACTAATTATAATAATTTATAATAAAGATTCAATGAATAAAATACTGAAATCTAAAATAAAACTTAATTAATTTTTGAATAATAAAATAAAATTACAAATTATGAAACATAAATAATATTATTAAATTAAGAAAATGAAAGTTTAAAAAATAAATTATAAGAAATAACAAATGGATATTAAGAAATTAATAAAAATTATAAAAATTAAGAGAATGAAATATCATAATTAAAATAAAAATTTTCAATTTTATCAACTGAAAATGTTCAAATAATAATTTAAAAAAACTAATTAGTTAAAACATATGAGGAATGTATGATTACATATTAAGAATTAAAAAAAGAATTTGATTTTGAATAAGAATTAAAATTTAAAATAGAATTTGATTTAAAAAGATATTAAGATTAATTAAAATAACTTGAATAAGAAAAGAAACAATAAATGGATTAAGTAAAGGAAATGTAAAAGAAATAAATGTTTCAAATATAATAGAATGATGAAAAGAATAAATTCTAATAAAATTAAATAGTAAAAAAAGATGAGACTATAGAAGAGTTAAAATGTAATATAAAAATTTTAAATACAAGTAATACAACTCTTGAAGGTTAAGTAACATCACTTACATAAAATCTAACTGAATTATAAAATAAGTATTCTTCAGAAATTATCAAAAGATAAGAACTTGAATAATAATTAAGATTATTAGGATTAGAAATTAAAAATAAATAAATAGAATATAAAAAGATGGAAGAAAATCTTATGTTACATTAAATCAAATATAGTTAAATTAAAGATTATCCTGATATGTATAAAGAAATTAATGAATAATATGGAATAATGCAATAATTAGTTGAATAATTATAAAGAGATATTACATTACTTAAATAAACAAAATAATGTTAACATGCATCTATATAAACAAATGAATAGATTTTTTGTAATATAGAATCTTAAACAGAAATAATTACATAAGATTAATCTTAATAATTCTGTGCTATATAAGAAGATATATAAACTTAAACTATATCTATCAAATTTAATACAAAATAAATTTAGACAGATTTAAGTTAAGTTTTACCAACTGAAGATAATTCAAGTTGTTATGATAAGATCATGGGCAAGAAATAACATTAATTTACATAAGTAGATTTAATAACTTAAACAGAATTATAAATGGATTCATAAAAGTATACTTTAGAATAAGATGTTTCATCACATCATAGATCTATTTAAAATTCATATAATTTTGAAGATAGTTATCAAACAAGATTATAACCTTAATATGAAGATTTAATTTATGATAAATAATAAATGAAATTAATAAGAAATGGTAAAGTAAATTAAAATAATAAAATTGATGAAGATCCTTCTCAAGAATAAAATAAATCATATATGAAATCAAAATTAAAAGATAAATTAAATAAAGGAATAGAATTGCCTTAGATATAAAATTTTGGAGATAAATCATAAATTGTACCAAATTAAAAGACTCCTTCAGCAAGATTTGCCAAAATGTATGTTCAGGCATCTGAATATTACAAAAAATGAATACTCTTACTGTTATAAATTTCAAATAATTAAATATTAATTAATATAACATTCTTGATACTATAATTCATTAAAAATTTTTGATTAACTTTTCAAGTGTATCTTTAGGTAGAATATCTTTCATTAAATTTAAGTATTCAACTATCTATGGTCCATATATACAAGGTTTTTTGTATATTGATTTTAATACTGAATCAAGTAATGATTTAATATAATTCAAACATTATTGTGCTTCTTCTGCATTAGATTATTTTAAAAATTAATATGTATGTTTTAAAATTGATCTAAAAAATTGTTAAATAAATTTGGTCTGAATTGGATTTAATGTTAATAATCCTTTAATAAATCTACATTACATTATCAATTAACATAGTAAAGATTTATCAGAGACTAAACCTTCAAATAAATCAGATTCACAATCATCCATATTTTCACAATACAATTCAATAAATCTTACTAAAACATGATAATCAAATATTGGCTATAAGACTTTGGCATTAGGTACAACAAACATTACATTAAAGTAATTCTCACATATTTTTTCTAAATCTGCATATTCTTCATCTACATCATCCATATGTAAACAAATATCTTTAGCATAATTGAGAATAATTTCATTTGGTAATCCCTAAAATAACTCAGAAAATATTAATTCTTATTCTTCAATTCTTGCTTCAATCAAATTATAATATTAATCACGCATTTCATCAAATTCATCATATAATTTAAATAAAGTTGGTATCTATTATTAATTATATATTCTTACTTTCTATTTTGCCATATCATTAAAACATTGAAAATATTCATTTACTAATTCAAAATCTCTTAATTATTTCTATAACTCTTAATTCTATTCTTACCAAGTCTTAATTAACATCTCACTTGAATGAATAGCTGATGTAGATCTTTCTACCTCCTTTTATAATCTATCTCTGTTGAAAATCTCTTAAGATATTATAGTTTATAGATTTCCAATTATTGATTCTAAATTTATTTATGAAAAATTATCCATAAAACTACAATAATGCATTTATTATGAGTCATTAAAATTGAAAGTCTTAAAACCATTATTTGCATAATCATATGAAACTTTATTTGATTTAATAATATTTTTCTCAAATCTATTAAATTCTTCATCATCTGAATTATGTTCATAAAAAAGCTTCTATTATTTGGCTATACCTATCATATTCATTCTTTTGCTATCCATATCTGTAATTAAGTTATTATCTGTTTCATCTATTATTATAACATTTTATTGATTTTAATTTCTCTTTATATCACCTTCATAAATTCCATCATTTTCTAAATCTATGATATTGATTTCTTCTACATTTTCCAAACTTTTTTTAGCTAAGTAATTGTTCATCCTATTTTCTTCTTCTAACTCCTTTAAATATTCATAATTTTCTATTTAAATAACATCTTTTTAAACTTCTACTATTGGTTTATTGTCTAATCTCACATATTTTTTAATTTAATCAGTATTTTCTTCATCATCATAGTTCAACCAATTTTTAGATTTCTTTGTTTAATTTATATTGGATGTTGTAGTATTATTGTTTTATTCTTTAATATCCTGATCTTGAAAAGAAATAGAAACTTGTTTTTTAAATTTTTTATTAAACATTATTATTATTATTAAATTTAATTCATTATTTATTCAATATTTTTCTTTAAGTAATTCATTTATTGATTCCCTTCTACTATAATATAAAGGAATACTAAATTTTCTGTTTTCTGATTCTGCATAATTAATTGTCTTTACTTTAGAATACTTAAATAATTTTTCATATTTTCTTAAAGCATAAATCACATTAGACATAGGCATATAACCAAAATAATTCATTAATCTATCAATATTAAAATTTGTTGTTTGAAATTAATCATCAAACTAATTCATTTAACAATCATTAAAATCAAATAGATATTATTATGAAACTTAATTTTTTGGTGTATTATTAAGTTGATCATCTTCAGATTCCGATTTTAATTGTCTATCAGAATCTCTATAAACTGATTTTAAATTTACAAAAACACTAACTTTCTTTTATTAAGATTAATTTCTTTATCTAATTAAAAAAGAATTCTTTTTTTTTAAAGGAGGAATTTGAAAAGACTTAGATGGTTATTTTTCTAATAATGATTCTTTTTAACAATGACTACTTAAATCTTTTGTAGCATATGTAGAAAATAATTTCATATCAACATCAATTTAAGTACTAGATAGATTTGCTTTATATTCTTCAACAGTATCTTTAATTGCTGAATGTAACATTAAACATCTCACTTTCTCATTGTTTCTTTATATAAAAAACCTTTATTATATAGATGGTTTTAATTCTGCTTTTTTAATTCTTTATAAAATATCTGGCTTATAAGATAAAAGTGGACAATCAATATTAATATGATCAGTCATTTTACAAAAATTACAATGTTTTTATACTATTTAGTAATTTTTATTAAATATAATATTGTCTTTAATGTGATGAAATCTTTAAAAATCTTTAGAATTTTAATTTAATAACTATAAAATGGATTAACGATTTAATTTGAATATTTTTGTAAATCCTTAACTTCTAACTGAAGTTTTTGATTAAAATCCTGTAAAGAATTAATATTCACCAAATGTTTCTCCAGCTTTTAATGATTGTAATAATTTTTGACTATTTTCTTCATAAATATTAACAATTCCTTCTTAGATATAGTATAGACTTTAATCATTTGAATCATTTCTATGATATATAACATCACCAGGAGTAAATTTAAATTCTATTAAATATTAAGAAAGTTATTTTAAAGTTGATTGAGAGAATTGATTATTTAATATTTTTATCTTTTTCATAATGTTCATCTAAACATCTTATACTAGTTCTTATTTTAATCCAATTGGTAAATCTGCAACAATTTTATTAATATCATCTTTATTTTCATTAGCCTCTGTTTCACATTAATATTTAAGATAATTTCTTATTCTACTCTAAATTTATAAATTAACTTAACTATTTTTCATAAAAGCATTCATAATTATTATTGAACGTCTAATAAATAAAAATAGATTAAATACTTATATTTTTATTAAACTTCATATTAACTTTTCAGTATCATTCCTATTTGACTAATTGAATAACCAAACATACAACTTGAGAGTATCATCATTAAATTTGCAGCTAAAGTTTCAAATTGATTAGAAGGTGTAATATCTCCATATCCTACAGTTGACATTGTCATTGTAGCCCAATAAAAAGATGTATTGTACCTTTCCCAAATTTCACTATTTTGTAAATTTCTTTATATCAACCATGATTAACCTTATTCCATTGTAATTTCACCAACATAATGCCAAATACATGCCATAACATGAGCATAAGAAAAGATTAAAATAATAAGTTACATTACATCTATAGCATAATGATATTATCCCTTTAGATAAAGAATTTCATATAAAGTTTCATAATTTTGATTAAGTTTTTTGTAAGATATAAAAATGATAATAATACAAATAGTGCCTTTTAATTGAATATTATCAAAAATTGGAAAAAATGAAACAATTAAGGTTATAATATACATTAAATCTTCGAAGAAACTATTTTTAAAGAAATCTTTAATTCTTTCAGTTTTATCATAGATAGTTTCACCATTTACTATCAATGGACTATTAATTTTTATAAAAGCATCAAAAAATACTTAAAATACAATAATAAGGAAGATGACTTTGAATATTGAAATTTCTTATTAAAATGATATCATAAAAGGAGTAATCCATAAAGTGACTATTTGTATAAATAGAGACCATATAGTTAAAATTATTGAAATATTACTACCAGATATTATAAATGGTATTCGACTATGAATATATTGATTTCCTTAAATTATGATGCATTTTACTTTTAGTTGGTTTTTACCACCAATCTTGAAGTAAAAGATACTTATTTTCTTTACTCAATACATATGAACGCATAAGGAGTATGTTTTTGAACTTTTACACAAGGGAATTTCTATTAATAGTCCTCAAGAAACTTGTTCGATTTAAGCCAATTTTAAATTCAGACTTTCTTTTTCTTGTCAACTGAATAAAAAGAGAAGTGGATTATGAATACCTATTTGCTAATATCTTGTTTTATCATAATTGATTCACAACGTATTGTATTTGTCATTTTATTTGGATGCAATGATGTATTGGAGTCAATTTATTAAAACTAGTATTTTTGTAATTGTTCTTAATCAAAACTCAATCTTGGACCACTAGGATGAATATCTTTATTCTAATCATTCGAATCAGATATTTATTTCAAAATACTCATTAATATAATTATCACAATCTCGGTTTATAAAAAAGTTGAATTGCATTCATAGCTTAATCTTTCAGATGACTTAATTGATGAGATATATTCTTTTCTAATTCTTAAATTAGAGACAATAATAATCTATTATGTTCATTATAAAATGAAGTCAAAATATCCTTATTATCACCTAATATTAATTTCTAATTAGCAATTAACCAATAAGTATACATATTAGGTTCAGATAATGTTGATCTATAATAATAATAATAATATTATTTTACTTATTCCATTTTTAAGTATCTCTTGTTAAAGTCATTTATATTTCAATGACTCTTCCAAGTAATTTAATTTCTTCAATTATCGAAGGACTAAAATTCTTTAATGAAATACAATCACAAAGTAGCATCATTGTACAACATAATCGTTTTTATCTAGAAGATAAGAATTCATCACAATTAAAATAACCTTATTTTGCCTATTATAACAATTCAAATGATTTGATATGGGCTAAAATGATATTATTCAATTCTGTCATTAATGCTTATCTTAATTGAGGAAATCCAATAAATTAATCAATATTGTATTCAAATATGTGAATTAATTCATTCATAAGTGACAATCCATATTTAAGTGAAATAGCTCCACCTAAACAAGGTTTCTAATTCAATATAAAATTCTTTGATCTATCAAAATCAAGACTTAACATATTGAAACATAATAAATTTATCAAAATTGCTAAAAGTTTCAATTTTGAAGTCAAATTATTAGATTAATATAATTCAACTTCTTTATTAATTTTTACTGTATTCAATACTGAAAATAAATTCTTCAACCATTCTTAACCTTTTAATCCAAATATTTATCTATTTATTGCAGAATCATCAGCATAATTTAAATTTATCTTATTTTAATCACATTCAAAAACAACATGTAAATCTACTTTTTCTTGTGTCCCTATTAAATCAAAACATCCTGTAAAGGTACAAAATGCTTTCATTTACTTCCCTTTAGCCTTTCCAATTTCAAAAAATACATTATAAGCTTTAAGAAATTCTAAAGCTGTTTATTTATTGAAATTATTTCTATTTTTCATAAATAAAACTGCTTCATCAACCAGATGTTCAGGTATACCACTAGCTATAGCAATATTTCTAGCATGTAATGTCATATGTCCCTTTTATATACCTTCAACAGCTAAAGCTCTCAATGCTGCAAAATTTGAAGCTAAACCTACAGATACAATAATCTCAGCCAATTTTTAAGAATCAGGATAATCTAAAATTTACAAAATCTATGAATATAAAGGATTTTAAGGTAAAACTCCTCCTTAAGTACCAACACTAATTGGTACTGTTAATTCACCTATAAATTTATTATCAATTATTTTATAAGATGAAAGTGGTTTGTATTATCCATTTATTGATGCATATCCATGTAAAGATGCATTAACTGCTCTAGCATCTTATCCAGTAGCATTACAAACTGCCTCTATCCCATTTATAATTCCTTTGTTATGTGTAACAGCTCTGTAAATATCAAGTTCTGCAAATTAATAGGCTTCTAACATTAATTTAGCTACTTCTTTTCCATTTAATGATTTATAATTGAGTTTATCTATATCTAAACTAAATTAAGCTGTTACTTTTCTATTCATACATAGATTAGTTAATATTTTAATTCCAATTCTACTTCCAGTGATTTCAGTTATCAAAGGAGCAACAAATTCTAAAACTGTATTTACTAAATTAGCTCCCATACTATCACATACATTTATAAATATGTCTACACTACATTGTCCTTTATTTAAATTTCTACATTTGACATCTTCAATTCCTCCTCCTCTTTTAACCATACTTTAACATGCTTAATTTCCTCTATTAATAATTGTCTATCTATTAGAATCAATTAAGCATTCTATTTTTGAAAAGTTCTAAATATCTAATAATTAAATTTAACCCATCATTACAGGGCGACTTGAATATGTTTAGAATCCAATACCAGCTTCACTAATTGTTTTAGCTGCTGCACTAGCTGCTGCAATTACAGATGGTTCTTCTATAGCCATAGGTACAGAATAACATTATCCATTTATTAAAAAGTTTAATCCTAATCCAAGAGGATATGATATTTTTCCAATACAATTTTCAACCATTAAATTTGCATTCTATAATGACAATCCTCCATCTTTAAATGGTTCAACATTTACATTCATTGTTTTTTCCAATTAATCTAATCTTTATTATATTGTTTTCTTATAAAATCCAGTCCATAATTAATTATATTACTTTTAAGATTATTATGTATTTTAATCATTTGTGCTATTATTATTAGTTATTTAATCTCTAATTTATTAAATTTTATTGATTGATTTAGAATTATCAATTACTATTATATCAGAAGTTTAATTCAATTCTAATTGTTTATGGACAAGATATTCTCTTCTATATTTATCATCTATAGATTTCAAATAGAATGTTCCTGGATATAAATCAACTTATTTTGGTTGATATTATTGGCTATGTTTATTGTAATTTATTTCCCTTTATTACATAATATGATCATATTCTATACAGGAAATTCTGATTCTCTATTATAATCGTTCTTAAAGATTCATTTTCTATTTCATTATTCTTGTTGATTTATTGCATTTTAAAAAAAAGAGAGATGCTGCACATCCTGAACCATATGAAAACATCATAATTCTCTTATTTATTAAGTCTTCTTATGTATCAATTAAACTAATTAATCCAGCATAAAGAGCACCTGTATATATATTTCCTAATTCTCTTGATAAAAGACAAGATGGAAAAGCCTTATTCAACCAATCATTTTAGTAAAATTTAAGCATTTGAGATTATTTTTCATTAAAATTTTAAAATGTGAATCCAGTTTCAACTTTTTATACAAATGATTCATTAAGTTTAACTCTTAAAAATGATTTCTAAACCATCTTATGAAAAGGACTGTGAAAACAATAAAAATCAGCATCTAAATTATTATTTTTTTTAAAGTATTATTGAATACAATTATCAATTGAAGATAAATAACTCTATATTGATAATTAACCATCTACAGTAGGGTATTCACTTTGAAAATTAGGTTTATAAAAGTCATAATTATCCTTCATATAAGTTGTCCTAATGGTTTCTAATGTAAAAGTTGCATTTGGAGCTATTAACATAGCAACTGCTCCTGCTCCTCCAGTAGTACGTGCTGATCCTTTAGCATAAACTGCTATATCAGTACAAACAACAAGTCCTAATCTACCATCCCAAGCATCACTCTACATCCAATTAATAGTATTAAATAAAGCATTAGTTCCTCCATAACAGGCATTTATTGAGGTTACTCCCTCTATATTTGTATTTTCACCAAATAATCTCATAAGTGTAGTTTTAGTTGATTTTGATTTATCTAATAATGACTCTGTACCAACTTCCAATCTACCTATTAATGCAGGATTAATTTAATTTTTCTCTAATAGATTTGTGACCACTAACTTTTAAATTTCAATATACCTGTTAATGCCATAGTATTTACATCTTCAAAAGATCTAACAAAGGCCATATTTATTTATCCTAATCCTATTGTATACTTGCCCTATGAAACATTATCGAATAATTCTGAAATCTTATCAATTTTTAGTACCTAACTCTGCTTAATTAACATAAGTCTTAGGAAAATAAATCTCAATGGCTTCAATTCCAACATTTATTGGTTTCATGATTATTATTGTATATTTAATTTTTATATTATTGGTTAAATGAAGCATCCAAAATCAGAAATCAATAAATTCACATTTATTTAAATATCATTTATATAATATGCTGTATAATTATAATATATAGAAAATCTTTAAGTTAGTAATAATTATTGAAGTTATTTGAATGTAAATGCTATTATTATGTACTGTAAAATAATATATTCGATATCATTGTTTTTTTGTTTATCCTTTCTTTTTATCTCCTCCTTATTATTATTTTCCTTTTTATTAAGTTTGTTGTTATTCCTTTTGTTCTTTTGGCTATTATTATTGCTTTTATTTTTGATCTTTCTTTTCATCTTTGACTTCAACTTCTGCATCTTCCTTTAATTTCTTAATTCTCAACATACCTTATTTAGCAGACAATCCAGCTGGAGTACTCATGATAGATTAATTAATTACTTTACTTCCCATGCTCCACCTGCAATTTGTAATCCTGTTTATGTACATCTCCAAATACCAATTGCTTATCTTTTTAATGAGTGCTTAATATTCAATTCAATTCATACTGCTCCTGTGAATGTGTTAAAATATCTCTAATGTTAAGAAATTTCAAATTTCTTAATTATTTTTCTCAAAGAAGCACCATATCTGGTACCATATTTACCTGTGATTCCTACCTTCTTTGTTTTTTTGGTCATATTTAAAAATATAAATAAATCTTTAATTTATTTAGTTTAAACTATTTTATATATTTTATAGTATTATTATTATTATTAGTCTTATTAAATAATGATAATTGTTAATATTAGAATTGCAAATATTATAAAAGAAATGGTAGAGAAACTCACCTATTTATAAAGAAATTCATCGAAAATTTAATATTATATTAATCATAATTAATAATAAATCATCTTATAAATAAATTAAACAATTCAATAGAATAATAATTATTTAACATTAATAGATTTTATGTTATATATAAACAAATAGAAGATTTTATATATCGATTTTTAAGTAAAACAGAATTATATGAAAATATTTAATACTCTAAAAAATTCAAATTATATTTTATAACATCAGTACATATCTTTTCAACATTAAAAAATTGAATTAATTTTTTAATATTTAAAATATAATTAAATTTAAAGATATCAATCTAATTTTAAGCAAATTCACCTAATAAAATCATTCTATTTGAAAATTATTGCTTTTTTTCCTTAGGATTTCAATTTATCGTCTTTTTATAATCTTACAAAAGAATACTTATTTGGAATCATATATACTCTAGTTAATCTAAATCTTTTTAAGTATTTCAATACAGATTCAATAACCTTGTCAAAATTATTTTCTGGAAAATAATTAGAGTATATTATCATTTTATCTAATCCTTCAATAATACTTAATGGTTCAGGATTATTATCATTCTCANTATAATTATAATATATAGAAAATCTTTAAGTTAGTAATAATTATTGAAGTTATTTGAATGTAAATGCTATTATTATGTACTGTAAAATAATATATTCGATATCATTGTTTTTTTGTTTATCCTTTCTTTTTATCTCCTCCTTATTATTATTTTCCTTTTTATTAAGTTTGTTGTTATTCCTTTTGTTCTTTTGGCTATTATTATTGCTTTTATTTTTGATCTTTCTTTTCATCTTTGACTTCAACTTCTGCATCTTCCTTTAATTTCTTAATTCTCAACATACCTTATTTAGCAGACAAACCAGCTGGAGTACTCATGATAGATTAATTAATTACTTTACTTCCCATGCTCCACCTGCAATTTGTAATCCTGTTTATGTACATCTCCAAATACCAATTGCTTATCTTTTTAATGAGTGCTTAATATTCAATTCAATTCATACTGCTCCTGTGAATGTGTTAAAATATCTCTAATGTTAAGAAATTTCAAATTTCTTAATTATTTTTCTCAAAGAAGCACCATATCTGGTACCATATTTACCTGTGATTCCTACCTTCTTTGTTTTTTTGGTCATATTTAAAAATATAAATAAATCTTTAATTTATTTAGTTTAAACTATTTTATATATTTTATAGTATTATTATTATTATTAGTCTTATTAAATAATGATAATTGTTAATATTAGAATTGCAAATATTATAAAAGAAATGGTAGAGAAACTCACCTATTTATAAAGAAATTCATCGAAAATTTAATATTATATTAATCATAATTAATAATAAATCATCTTATAAATAAATTAAACAATTCAATAGAATAATAATTATTTAACATTAATAGATTTTATGTTATATATAAACAAATAGAAGATTTTATATATCGATTTTTAAGTAAAACAGAATTATATGAAAATATTTAATACTCTAAAAAATTCAAATTATATTTTATAACATCAGTACATATCTTTTCAACATTAAAAAATTGAATTAATTTTTTAATATTTAAAATATAATTAAATTTAAAGATATCAATCTAATTTTAAGCAAATTCACCTAATAAAATCATTCTATTTGAAAATTATTGCTTTTTTTCCTTAGGATTTCAATTTATCGTCTTTTTATAATCTTACAAAAGAATACTTATTTGGAATCATATATACTCTAGTTAATCTAAATCTTTTTAAGTATTTCAATACAGATTCAATAACCTTGTCAAAATTATTTTCTGGAAAATAATTAGAGTATATTATCATTTTATCTAATCCTTCAATAATACTTAATGGTTCAGGATTATTATCATTCTCATAACCAGTTGATTACTTAATTAAATTCTATAATTATCCTAAGGATGCAGTTTTTTATACTGATTCATGGCGTTTTGCTTATAAAGCATTAATCACACTTTATTCAGCAAAAAAAAGACTTTTTCTTGGTTTCTACCCATATCGGAGTCTATCAATTGGTTTGAGAAGTGGGGATTCTGTTTTTAAAGGTGATGCTGGTATAAATTTAGTTCTCTAACTTTTTCTTCTACTTTCACTAGGTAAAGCATAAGACAGTGTTAATACTTGATCACTCTTTTTTTCATGTTTTACACTCTCTTCATCTGATTCATCTGATTCATTTATTGAACCTATTTATTATATATCTCCTGCAGTATTATTATCTAAATCATTTGATGTTTTTAAATGTTTTGAGCTTTAAAGTAAGCTCTCTTAATAATAAACATTTTAACGAATTCCTTTTCTTTTGAATTAGAAACGTTCTTGTAATGAATCCTTAAAGAAATTCTTCTTTATAACTCTTTCTAAATCAGGTTTATAGTGAATGTATGGACATTTCCAAATAGAATGAGATTCTTGGCAACAATAGCACTCAATAGTAGAAGAATCATAATTAAATAATATTTCATCTTTGAGCTAATGAAATTGTTAAAAATCATGATTATAAGAATTTAGTATTTTTAGGAATTGATTTCTAGATATATAATATATTTAACTGAAATCACAGCTAATAGCAGTACCTAACCTTTTTTGATTAGTTAAAAATTCTAATTCTCCAAAACACTATCCTGTAGTAAATTTTTTAAGTACTTTTCCTGAGTTATCATCAATTAAATTAACTTCTCCTTTCCATACTATAAATATATTGCATTCATCTATTTAATTTTATTGATAAATGATTTCTCTTGGTGTATAAGATTACAAATTTAATTCACAAGCTATTTAAGGTAGAATTTCTTCTGAAAAGTTTTTATTAAAAAATGGAATACATTACATAACTCTAAATTATACATCTTAAATTAATTCAGATTTTAATGTAGTTGTTAATTTATCAATAATACCACTAATTTCATTTTTATATAGTTTTTCTTATTTATGATAATGATATTTTAAATAATTTCTTATTCTACCTTGTAGTTATTCTGCGACCTAATTATTATTCATATATTAATTAATTAATAATAAAGTTCTCTTATATTATTATTTTTAAGCATCCATATTTGTAAATATTGATCCTATTTGATTCATAGAAAATGCAAATATTCCACTTGAAAATATCATCAACACTATTGCACATAATACTTCATATATATTTTTACCAGATATATCTCCATATCCTACTGTTACCATTGTAGTTGTTGCCCAATAAAATGAATATATATACATTTATATAATACCAGAATCTTAAAATTTTGGATCTTAAGTCCATGATATTTCATTCAATTCTATACTTTTAATTCCTACATAATACCAAATACATGCCATAAAATGTGCAAAATAAAATGTGATTATAATTAATTATATTAACTTTACTATTTCTGTCAGAATTGGAGATTCAACAAAAGTTTCTTCATATTTAGTAAGATATTTCTTTAATTTAATAAAATTCAAACCAAATTGTAATAATACAATTACTTCTTAAAATCCACTTGCCCTTATTCCTATATCACTTATTACAAATATTAATGTAATAAAATATATAATATCCTCATGCATTTCATTAGAAACATAATGTTTCAGAATATTAATTCTATTTTTTATCAATTTACCTTAATCAAATATACCTCTATTAAATTTAATTACTAAATCTGCTGCAAAAATATATGTTAAAGCACTTTCAAAAGCATTAATATTTTTACTTGAAGATGGATTAAAGGCAATTTTAAATGGCAACCACCATAACAATATTGTTAATTAAATAGCTCTAAAAAATTCCCATATTAACATCACTTTACTTGCTGGATTAAATACAGGAAGTTTTCTCTATATCTATTTTTTTCCACCATCTTCAAAAATCTATATTTATTTAATCTTTTTCCAATTTTTTTTTTTATTCAACACTTCTCTCAAATTTTCACTTATTTATTCACCAAGAATTTTAGGTAATATGTAAGCCTTCTTTTTTAATTTCTCAATAAATTATTTCACCAGATTATTAATAACCAACATTTTTGCCATACCTTTATTTCTTTATTACTTCTGCTTATCATTCTTATCTTATAAATTATTTTATTATTGAAAACCCTTAAAAGGACTCATATCTTAATTTTTACTCTTGGAAATACTGATATCTTTAAATCGCAAATTTCTTAAAGAATTTGCTTGTGGCACAGAATCTGATTCAGAGTTCTCTTTGAAAGGTATGTCTTACATATCTAGATGAATTAGTTATGGTCTAAATGAATCTGAGATTCTAGAAGAACCTAATATAAAACTAAAATTACACCTCCTAATTTTAAGTCATTATACAATGTTTGCTCTAAATCTTCAGTCATACCAATTAAGAATTCAAATATTAATTATTTAAATTAAATACCTTTAGATTAAATTATGATATTTATTTAATAAGGAGTCAATACCAAAGAATCATATAAAATTAAAGTTATTATTTGAAAAAGAATTTTACTAAAAAATAACCTATAATTTATATAACTATCTCATATCAAATAAAATCATAGTAAAATAAACACTTCATATATTCATTTCATTAAGCTTGATAGATAAAATAAATAATTTAATTAAAAATTATTATGAATATAGATAAATAATAACTTGATTATCAAATAATAATAAAAAATAAATATTTTTTTTAAATTTGTAATAAGAGAATAATCATTATTATAAAATCAAAAAAATTAGTTATTTTCTGTTTATATTTTCCTTCTTGTCAAATCTCCAAGAGTTTCAGTAATAACTACTTTCTTACTTCTCATATATTTTCTAAAAGATAATAAGATCACTTCTAAGTTATTTTAAGGAAAATAACTTTAAAATATTCCAACTTTATCTATGTCTAACATAAATACTTTTAAAAATTCTTATTCTATCAATTCAAGTTAACTTAAAGAAGATATTACAATTTAATTATTTGATTATGATTGTCTATTTTTTATTGATGGAAGTTCCAATAATTAATGTATGCTTAATTTATTTGGATTTTACTCATTTTAAATTTCTGTTTAACTTTAAGCAAAAAAAGGACTTTCTATTTATTTTTCATCTTCTTTAGGATTAGACTATCCATAATTCTTATAATGGATTTATGTAATTGTTTTTGTTTTTGGTCTAGAAGGACTTACTGCAGGAGCAGTTTCATTTTTTATTGAATGAATTCTAGATCCTTACTCTTCTTTATCATCAGTATTTGATTTTAAAGTTTAAAGTTAAAAAAATCCTTTTTTATCACCAGTTCTTTCATAAGTTTGTCTAATTGATACTACTTCTTAAGCATTTTCTCTTTATATTATGACATCTATATTAGGTTTATAAAAAGTATAAGGACAATCATTAACACTATGATTTTCTGAACAACAATAGCATGATGATATTTAATTTATTTGATATAAAATTAACTAATCTTTTAGTTTATGAAAGTGTTCAACATCAATTTTAGAATATTTGATAATTTTCAAAAAGGTTTCTCTTGGCATTCTTAAAACTTGACTTAAATCTTTGCTAATGGCAGTAAATTATCTATGTTAAGAGGTTAAAAATTCAATTTCACCAAAACTTTATCCTTTAGCAAGAGTTGCCAAAAGTTTTCCAGATGAATTTTCAACTATTAAAACTTCCCCTTTCCAAACAGTATATAAACTACAATCATCTAATTAACCTTATTAATATATGATTTCCTTAGGAGTATAAGATTATATTTATAATGTTTAAGATATAATTGGAATGACATTTTTAGAAAAATTAGATTTATAAAAGGATATTTCAGACATAATTTTGGTTTAAATGTTTTTTTAAAGATCAGCAAAAATATATGAAGGAAGTTATTTTAAAATTTATTCTATTTCATCATTTTAACTTTATTGTTTTATTTTAGCTTGATATTTAATGTAATTTCTGATTCTACTTTAAACTTATTGATCAACTTAATTTTTTTTCATATAATTATTAATTAANTAAGAGAATAATCATTATTATAAAATCAAAAAAATTAGTTATTTTCTGTTTATATTTTCCTTCTTGTCAAATCTCCAAGAGTTTCAGTAATAACTACTTTCTTACTTCTCATATATTTTCTAAAAGATAATAAGATCACTTCTAAGTTATTTTAAGGAAAATAACTTTAAAATATTCCAACTTTATCTATGTCTAACATAAATACTTTTAAAAATTCTTATTCTATCAATTCAAGTTAACTTAAAGAAGATATTACAATTTAATTATTTGATTATGATTGTCTATTTTTTATTGATGGAAGTTCCAATAATTAATGTATGCTTAATTTATTTGGATTTTACTCATTTTAAATTTCTGTTTAACTTTAAGCAAAAAAAGGACTTTCTATTTATTTTTCATCTTCTTTAGGATTAGACTATCCATAATTCTTATAATGGATTTATGTAATTGTTTTTGTTTTTGGTCTAGAAGGACTTACTGCAGGAGCAGTTTCATTTTTTATTGAATGAATTCTAGATCCTTACTCTTCTTTATCATCAGTATTTGATTTTAAAGTTTAAAGTTAAAAAAATCCTTTTTTATCACCAGTTCTTTCATAAGTTTGTCTAATTGATACTACTTCTTAAGCATTTTCTCTTTATATTATGACATCTATATTAGGTTTATAAAAAGTATAAGGACAATCATTAACACTATGATTTTCTGAACAACAATAGCATGATGATATTTAATTTATTTGATATAAAATTAACTAATCTTTTAGTTTATGAAAGTGTTCAACATCAATTTTAGAATATTTGATAATTTTCAAAAAGGTTTCTCTTGGCATTCTTAAAACTTGACTTAAATCTTTGCTAATGGCAGTAAATTATCTATGTTAAGAGGTTAAAAATTCAATTTCACCAAAACTTTATCCTTTAGCAAGAGTTGCCAAAAGTTTTCCAGATGAATTTTCAACTATTAAAACTTCCCCTTTCCAAACAGTATATAAACTACAATCATCTAATTAACCTTATTAATATATGATTTCCTTAGGAGTATAAGATTATATTTATAATGTTTAAGATATAATTGGAATGACATTTTTAGAAAAATTAGATTTATAAAAGGATATTTCAGACATAATTTTGGTTTAAATGTTTTTTTAAAGATCAGCAAAAATATATGAAGGAAGTTATTTTAAAATTTATTCTATTTCATCATTTTAACTTTATTGTTTTATTTTAGCTTGATATTTAATGTAATTTCTGATTCTACTTTAAACTTATTGATCAACTTAATTTTTTTTCATATAATTATTAATTAATAATAGAGTACGTTTATAATTTGATTATTCAGTATCAATATTAGTAAATATATCTCCTATTTGATTGATAGCATATGCAAACATTCCTGTTGAGATTATCATTAAAACAGTAGCACACAATACCTCATAACTATTTTAAGCTGATATATCTCCATAACCAACAGTTACCATTGTAGTTGTTGCCCAATAAAATGAATACAAATAATAATAGAGAGGATCTGAAGAATTAATTTACAATTTATTAGTCCAAGATTATTCATAAACATTTAAACTTTTAACTCCAACATAATACCAAATACAAGCCATAAGATGAGCAAAATAAAATACTGTAATAATAAGTTGTAATAAATTAGTTAATTAGATATATCCTGCTTTAGTTGCAAATATTTCTTCAAATTTTTTTATTTTCTTCTTTAGCTTTTTATAATTTAAAGCAAATTAAATCAAAACTAATATTTCAAAAAAGATATTAATTTAAATCTCGATTTAACCAATTACAATTAGTTGAGTAAAAAAATAAATAGTATCCTCAGTAAGTTCTGTTTAAATGTAATGCTTTAGTATTTATGTTCTATTCATGATATAATCTCCTTCTTTTATGAAACCTTAATTCAATTTTAAAATTATATCCAAAATGAATATATAAATTAAGGATAGTTCTATGTGATCAAAATAATAATTTGGTTGAAATGCTACTTTAAATGGTAACCACCATGTCAAAAACATTAATTAAAGAGCTCTCAATATATTCCAGGAAAATATTATGATGGCAGTTGGGTTTAAAATTGGAAATAGCTCTTTATTAGATTATTGATTTGATGTCCTTAATTTATCTAAAATTACATTATCATCAATATATTTTTCTTTTAAAAAGTTCTGCATTTTATTTGAAATCACTTTAGGTAAGATATAAGCTTATTTTTTTAGTTTATCTATAAATTTTCTTACTAATGATTCTGTTTAAAACATTTTATATATCATAACATTTTTTTATGATTTTTAATATTCTGATGCATCTTTATCTTTTTTTATTATAAGCATTCTTTCACTATTTCTATTTAGCTGAATAATTGATTAGATATACTTTTTTAATATGTATACTAGTCCTTGCTGGTACAATTGGTTATTGCAATAATTAAATTTCAGAAGAAGGAAAATTGACTGATCGAACTGACTCAGTATATTCTTTTAAAGGAGCTAATGAAAGATCTACTTTAATTTAATGAGGTCTAAATTCGTCACTCTATTTAGGAGAAACTTTAATATTAAAAGTAAAATTAGATTACATTAAAAAAAATCTGCAGAATTAATTGATTCGCGATTATCCTCAATCATCTTGAATTTTTTAATTAATTAATTAATGATAATTAATATAAAGATATATATTAAGAAATGATCAAAAAATGGTATTATTAAAAATAGATTATGAAACATTTACAGATAATATACTTACAAAAAATAGTTGTTTTTAATTAATGATTTTATTTATTTAAGATTAGTTGTTAATAATTTTATTTATATAATTAAATAATAATAATTCACAATAATTTTTGGACTCATTTTATTGATAAAAATATTTAAATTAATTAAAATGGCTGCATTTTCTACATTCAACCTTATTACTTTTGCAGGGTTTATAATATTCTCTGTGATAGGTATCAATATTTCAAATAAGTATTTATATAAAGATCTTATTGTAGTGAAATGTATATTGAAATCTTAAAGGTATTAATTGTTGTTGCTGGAGTTATGATTATTCATTAAATTTACTTATTAAAAAGTACTAGTCCATCAATTGTTAATAAACCTAACCAAAAGCAAATTAATTTTAATGTATTTAAGGGCAACATTAAGAATGATTTAATATAACCAAATTACTATAAAGGTAGAATATATATTAAGATAGGTGAATAATCTGATATAATGTAAACATAATCAGGATTAATGGATGATTAGAACTTAAAAGAAAAATAAAGAATTTTAGATAAAGAATAAAGAAAAAATAATATGAAGAATCGTACCAAATTTAATCGTTATCAAGTTAGATTTTTATTAAGACAATCATTTATAAGAGGGTTTAAAATAATTTTAAAATGGATCAATTAACAAATTTTATGGAGATGATTCTAGTCAAATTCATTAAACTTCATATTAAGCCCCAGTTTAATTATTTGGACGAAGTGGTTTTTGTAAATATTGTATTAAAAATAAGATAATGAAATATAAAAGAAAAATAAAGAAACTGAAAAATTATTATCAAGAATAATAAAAAAAATAGGAGATGCTCATCTTAAAGTTGAAGAATTATTTTTCAGTTAATTTATACCAACTTTTGTTAATGAATATTAAGATCATTTAATAAATGTTAATAGAATGATGAAAGAACATTTTTAATAGAAAATAATAGAAATTGATATATTTTTTGCTAACAAACCATATGATATTAATTCAAATAAACATGAAAAATCAATTGGTCTCAAAAGTGTTACGATTGAAGATGTTCTCTTTTTTAAAAACTAAATAAAAACAAGATCACGTGAACCTGTTAAAGCACCTATTGATGTTGATAAATTTGCTAGGGATAAATTAGAATTTATAAAAGAATGTGATCTCTTAGAATTATATAATAATATCTTAGATTTAACATTACTTAATAGAAATATAGCAGTTGATAAGAAATACTTATTATTAAAATTATTGACATTTACTGAGAGTAAAGGTAAACCATAATATTAATCTGATGGTTTAATGGAAAGGGTTTCTAGTGATTATGAAGTAAGATATTAAATAATAATAATATTTTAAGATACTTTTTACTGTGTTTATTAATACAATTATAAAGTGTGTTAATTATGAGAATCAAAAGTATTCTAAATTTAATTTTAATGATGGTAGTAATGATAGTACTTTAAAAACAATTAGTGTAAGCATTATTTCTTTAGAATCTTTTGATTTGAATGAATTAAAAAATGATTAATAAAGCAGAAATTTTATTATTTCATAAAAGTTAGAATAATTGGATCAAGAACCATAATTTCATTATTATAGTGATCATATTGTTAGAATGTTAAGAAAACAAAAGGATTTAGAGAATAAAAAATTAAATGAATTTATTTTGTATACTTCAAGAGTAAAATCAATATTAATAATAGGATTGCAATTCATTGAATGGTTTTGTATGTTATTATTTACTGCATCTTTTAAGTCTTCCTAAATAACATTGGTAATAATTACAATAAATTGAAATGGAATAAAGAATGATTAAGTGTTTAATAAGAATGGCTAAGGATCTATCATTTTTAGTGACAAATCTTTGATTTCATTATAAATATATTATATATATATATATATAATTTCTAATAACAATTATTTAAGTAAAAAACATTGATTATTGATATATAATTAGAATTTTATAAATAATTTGTCAACTTCAGTAATCAATTGGTAATTCTTAAATTATTTATTCTTGTTCTTATCTTGATCTTGAATTAGCAAATTAAATTATTTTATAACTATAGTAAATGCCTGGTATAGTCATTAGAATCCCTATGAATAATAATGGTAAATATTGATCATAATTTGATGGTTATTTAATCAATAACAATAATCCAATAATCAAGAAGGTTATACCTAAGATAGTAAGCATAATTGTTATGGCAATAATCTCATTTAAATTATAAGTACTTTTTTTGGAATTGCATTCAAATGAAAAAGTTGTTATTCTTTTAATGATGAAATTGTAATATGGCTATCTTCTTTAGAAGTATTCTAAAGTTCAAATTCATCAATTTATCCTAATTTATGAGGTTTCAAATTCATATTAAAATATTAAATAATAATCATGCAAACTATGACTCATTTATGTATATATTTCAATTATATAGAACTTAGTGGTTTCTCATTCTTTTCCTCTAAAAATACAAGAGATAATTAACATCTCATTGTTAAAAACAAAACAAATAATCAACCTAAAAAAAGGAAGCTACTCTTTCTTAAAAAAAAGAAATAAAATAGTAATTCACTTCCACACTCATATCGAATCCCATAACTAGATGATGTTCAATATTAAACAACCTTGTCATTGACTGAAAGAATAAAGAAGCGATATTTCTAACCTTTAAAGAATGCTGTTGCTAAAATCACTGAAATTAGACAATAATAATTGCCTAGAAGAAAATCAACTTATGGAATATTATTTGGTTAATTAACACAAAAAGAAATGCAAAACTTTCCTACAGCTATAGAATAACATAAACAAATAAATAAATAAGAACTGGCTTTAACAAGTTTTGCAATTATGTTAGAAAGAAAGTAAAGAAAGTAAACAACTAGAAAACTATCTAAAAAGCTATCAAAATAAGAATCTCTTGTAGGTAATAAATATAAAATATTATTAAAAGAATATGATAATATGGAAAGACCTCCTTCCTGTAAAACCCCTCCTAAAATAATCTTGACATCTAAACCTAAAAGCAAATCTAAGATTTAATTAGAGAAAGAACGTTATTTTAAATGGTTAGATCTCAAAATGTTTCATTTCTAATCAAATAAACTCTAAAAAAATAATATGCCACAATAAAATTAAAAAGTCAAATAACATTTTCAAACTCAATCTTGTGCTTCATTAAGAAATCTTTAAATATGTTCTTTTACTTCATCTCCTCTTCTAAAAGCTAGGGCTAAATAAAGCACTGAAGTTAATTTGGTTCTTACAAAATAAAAAAGTAAATCCACTCTTAAAACATAAAGACCTTATATAACACATAATAATTAATTATAGAAAAAGATACAATAGACATTTGAAATCAAAAATACCTCATGGTTAAAATAAAATTCACTTGAATAAAAATTTATCTGATTCATAACTAGATTATATATATATATATATATAAATTTTGGAGAGTATCATTAAATTATCCAATCATCCTAAAGAAGGTTTTCTTATAAACTAAGTGTTACTTGCATTATGTTATCTACATGATAATATTTAATGTATAGAATGGGCTATATTCGATCTTATTCTATCTGATGAAGTTGGTTTATCATTAACATACCTGTTGCTCAGCACTAAACAATACTTATTTATATGAAAATACCTGGCTTATTTTCAAAAGTGTTATTAGCTATTAAAGTTCTAGTTTGTTATAATTTTAGAAAAATGTTATCCTTACTTAGTTTTTTTTCAAATTCCTTTAACATTCTATTTGTTTATGTTTTTGATTTTTTAAAAGCACTATTAGAGTCTGTATCATTGAAAAACTTATTATTCAATTTGGAACTATTTTCTTTTGGAGTTATGGATTAAATCCAAGGATGATTCAAAGCATCTTGAGGTTTAAGTCTTGATTCAGCATCCCAAGTAAAACATTTTTAAAGAAAATCAATAAAGTCTTCATCTGTAGTTTTAAGAATTTCTTATAATGAAATGGATTAAGGTTTTCTATAAGTTTTGATAGTTTTTTTTGGTTAACCATTTTCATCAAAGAAATGTTTCTTTCTTGGACATTTTAATGCAAATTCAGTAGATGGAGCTCCAATAACTTCCATAATCAAATTAAATTATTCAAGTTCATTATCTCCAGGAAAAATTGGTTATCCAGTATGAATTTCAGATACTAAGCAAGCAAAACTCCACATATCTATTTCCATTCCATATTTCAAACCAAAGATCACTTCTGGAGCTCTATAATATCTAATAGTTAATCAAAGATAAAATACCTGCTTTATATATATGTGTAGACCTAATTTCCATCTATACATCCAGAACCAAAATCTACTAATTTTATAATCTTTGATTTCATATCTTATACCATAACATTTTCAGGCTTTAAATCACAATGAATAATATTTAGTTTGTGTAAATAATTCAAAGATACTAATATTTAATATGAAAATTTTCTTAAAGTTTCATAATCTAACCCTCTAAATTTTTATTATTTTAAAACTTCAAATAAATTAAATTCTAACTTTTCAAATACTATGCATTAATGTCCTCTAAAAATAAATTATTCTTCTATTCTCACTATATTAGATTTATTCTAAGGATCTCTTTCTTTAATCATCATTAATAGATTTGCTTCTACTAATGCTTATTTTTTTAATTTATCTTGATTTCTTATGATTTTTAGTGCAAATGTTTTTTAAGTTTTATGATCCAAAACTTAAAACACTTGACCAAAACTACCTTATCCAATAAGATTAATAATTTCATATTAATATTTAATATGATCTTTAGCATAACATAAATATTCTCCATTTTAACCATCTTATTAAATTTTAGATTATTTGTAATAATAAACTTGTTTCATTTGTTAAACTTCAAGTAATTCACTTTTACTCAAATTAAATAATCGAATAAACTAATCAATCAAAAGTGGAAACTTTGTCATAGTTGAAATGGAAAAATTCTCTTTTTCTTTGTTAGCTTTATTTTTAAAGTTTAGTATTATATTTTATATTGTGTTAGTATTGTTTAGATTGTTATTTGTATGTAAAGGTTGAACTGGCTTGAAATATTTATCAGATACTAATCCTGAGGTATTTGGACTAGTTGGTGTAGTATCAATTTTACGTTTAGTGGAAAGTGGATGAGCAGTTTAGATAATCTATTTTAAAGCAGACATATCCAAATGAACAGAAAATTTCTTACGATCAGCTAATTTCATCAACTAATCTGTTAAATTAATATAATGAACTTAAAAGAATAAGAATCAATTAATGATTATTTTAAGGATGATTCAAAATTTATTGGAGAATTCTAATTACCTGATTATAAGGTAATGCGTGGATATATTGGTGGATATGGAGATGAATTGAGACTCTATTACACTAAATTTGATCCACCAAATAAAAAAGCATCTTTATGCATTGTTCATGGCTTTGGAGAACATTAAGGAAGATTTTTACATGTATGTGAAAACACTATATATTGAGATTGCTGATATTTTTGCTAAAATGAATTATGCTGTTCATTTAATAGATTTAAGAGGATTTGGATATTCAGGAGGTCCAAGAGGATCATAAACATTAAAAGAATTACATATGGATATCGAAGTCTTATTAAGACAAGTATCTAAAGATATTCCATTATTTCTTTATGGCCATGCAATGGGTGGTTTACTCATAATTAGTTTTTTAATTAGGAATCCTTAATTAAAAGTAAGAGGGATTATTACTACTGCCCCTATGCTTGGATTTCCTATGGATAGAAAACTGAAGGGAATCAAATATATTGCAGTTAAATATTTTGGACATTACATGGAAGTATAAAATTATGATTATTTATTTTTTTTTTAGGATTTAGTAATAAATACTAAACTGAACATTACTGGAATGAGCAAGAATGATCAACATATTTAAAGATGTTTTGAAGATAAGTTAATGATGCCTTTACTGGGTATTGGAATGGCCAAAAGTATTCTTGAAACTTTAAATTATATGGAGTCAAAAGTTTAGACATTTAAATATCCCATCATAATTTTACATGGTAAACAGGATGCTGTTTCAAGTTATAATGAAAGTGTAAGATTTTATGAAAAATGTGGTAGTCAAGATAAATCAATTAAATTGTTTGAGAATGGTTATCATGAACTTTAACATGATTTTGAATTTGCTGAAATGAAACAAATAATTATTGATTGGTGTTCTATACGATTGCAAAAAGCTGAGCCATTTGGTAAATCTCTATAAATATTTAGGTATTTTATTGCAATCAAGATTAAATTATGGTATTCCTATTGGAAAGAATAATAGCATCAAAATTCTGATAGGTTTACTTTTCTTGATTTTGTATTTATTAGTGATTTTGAAATTTAAGAGAAGATTCTAAAAATATTAATATCCGATTATTCCATTAATGATAATATATAGATATTATAATAAAAATTTATGAAAAATTTTAGACGAAACTTTAATCAAACAAACAGACCTTTTAGAAATAATAGAGGACCTCGATCAAATTTTAAAAGAAAATTCAGTAAAGATGATAATGATCACAAAAACAATAATTAATGTAAATGGCTTATTATAGACTATCCATTTAATAGCCGATAGGAGACCATTCAAAAGAAGTTTTAGATTCAAAAAGTCTGGTAAATTTGATGCATTCAGGACTGGAAAAAGAAGATTTAGAAAGTTGTCTGAAAATAAAGGTGAAAATTTAGAAAATAAATTGGATAAATAATTAGAATAATATAAGAGTGGATAATAAGTTGTAGGAAATAGTGGTATAAATTTTTGATTTATTTAATAGCATCATCTAAATTAGATAATGCATTAGATGCATATTTTTCTAGAAAAGGATCTAATACAAAAGAAA